GTACACCTTACATGCATTGATTTATAATTAAAGTGTAACTCCTCTGTCCTTGAAATGGGTAAAACCAACTGGAACCCAACCATGGCAAGACCATTTTCTCAAAGCTTCTTGGGCTTTCTGGGCCATTCTCACACTTACTTGGTTCAGAATAAATCTCTTTAAGTTACTTTGCAGAATTTGGGTTCTTTTCTGTTGACCAGTGGTTTAGTATTTTAGTTTCCTTAAAGTGGGGTGGGGCATGTAGGTAATAAAACAAATGGTTACATTTTCTTGTGTGACTTTACTTAGTGCCCAGAAAATCTACAGTTCATATAAGATAAGGTGAAAAGGGATGTAAAGGAATGAATTAATGCAGTCTCTGTTTAGGTGGAAGAATGATTGATCTTGTTCGTGTTCTGTACCTGGGGAAATAAACATGTAATCAACAGTATTAGTGTGGTATAGAACAGACTTTAGTTTTAAGAACTAGACTTAGACTGCAGAATTGAAGTTACAATAGGCAGTCCTTGTTTATGGAAGGCCAGCAAAGAATTTTGTTGAAAAATTTGAACAAAATTGGTAGATGCCTGAGGCCTTTCCGTGGGGATCTGACTAATGTATGATGTTTGTAAAAGCTATTAATTTGAAAGAGGGTGTTGCATGACTCTGCCTCTAAGGTTTGACCTTCCCTTTTGCATAAGGAGTTAGTAGGATCCTAATATTTTTTTCTTTTACATTCTTCACACCTCTTCTATAAATCTTTTATAGAAAGCATTGCAAAAGATAATGAGTTTGTGGTTGTATGTTTCAACTATTCCCAAACTACTAGGAAGGCTCATTATTAGGAGCACATGTCCCACAGATAGGAAATTAAATCAGGGCCGGGTGAGGGGGCTCATGCCTATAATCCTAGCACTCTGGGAGGCTGAGGTGGGTGGGTTGCTTGAGCTCAGGAGTTCAAGTCCAGCCTGAGCAAAAGCCAGACCCTGTCTCTACTAAAAATAGAAAAAACTGAGGCAAGAGGATCACCTGAGCCCAAGTTGGAGGTTGTTGTGAGCTATGATGCTATGGCACTCTACCCAGGTCAATAGCTTGAGACTCTGTCTCAAAAAAAAAAAAAAATTAAATCAGGAAAGAACTAATGCCAGATGGGAGGTAAATAATAAAAACACAAAAAC